GAGAGAGAGAGAGAGAGAGAGAGAGAGAGAGAGAGAGAGAGAGAGAGAGAGAGAGAGAGAGAGAGAGAGAGAGAGAGAGACTAAACAGATGCCACTGTGATATATTAGTGCAGAGGTATTAAGAATAATCTTAACCTTATCTCTAAAAACAACATTTATTTATTTAATTGCATTGCCACATTGCCCAACTCCAGATCAAATTGGGGGAAAAAATAGAGAACATGATAGTGAACCCTGCCAACAACCGGAATATATGCAAACTGAACCAAAAACCACCCTAGCTGAAGGTCTGCGAGAATGGCTAGGAACATATTATTTATATAAAAATAGTTTATATTCTAAAATCCCATTGTATTTTCAGAATTTCTAGTGGCACAAAGAAGATCTTTCTGGAAATGAATCTGTAACTGGACACATGGAAAGACCTTGCCAAATTTAGAGAGGACTGTAATCTTTTTTTTTAAAAAAAATATTAATTTTTAGGAATTACAATCTTTAGAGCGTAGTAAACAACATGTTTGGGTTCACATATTTAACATTAACCTCTTCAATATAAGTCTATTCACTACTGGACAATCCAGTATTTTTTCCCTGATCCTCCTTTCTTCCCCATATTTTTTCCATTTTCCCCTCATTACACAATTACAATTCTTGGTACTATTGATGTATACAGTGTTAGATATAAACATCTTCATCATATTTTACTAATATTATACAAATAACAATATCAATTCATTAATCAATATCCTGTTTTTTGTGCTCTTGTTAAGGTTTAACAAGAGCACAAAAAAATGTATCTTTGCCAGTTATGATTTTCTCAATATTAATTACATTTATGTCTAAAAATTTTATTCATACCAATCCTCCTCTTATTTTCATATTTCCCATATCAAAAAAGAGAAAAAAATGCTTTTTAATTCTAAATCATATCTTTCATTATAAAAGTCTAATTATATCTAAGGGTCATCCATTCTTTTAACCATATTCAAACAAGTACTTAAACATATGATGCCCCTTTTAAAAGGTCAAATCTTCTATTTTTTAAATCTAATTTCTTTCTTTGCCAAATAGCTTTCCAAGCCAAGGCAATTAAATCACCCATGAATTTTCTTGCTATTTTTATGAAAGTTGCTTGGCATGAGGAAGACAATTTAGGTATGGTATTTTTGAGGGGGAATTCCACCCATTTATGTTTCTTAAGCAACTCCCACCTTCTCCCTCAATTTCTCCCCTCATCTTTTATCACCCAAATTGTAACATTTCCCCTGACAGTTCTATGTTCCATTCCCCAAAATCTTCTTCCTTGTCATCAGGTGCATCTTGGAAGCTTAAAGGGTAAAGGGTCTTTTGTAATTTCATTGTTATGGGCAAGTCTTGTAGTATTTTATTTGTCTATGGTAATTTATATTTCCCTTCTTTCAAAAAGGACTGTAATCTTAGTCTCATTCAGACTAGGGGTCAGGTCTGTTTGCAAAGACTTCAGCATATGCCTTCAATAAAATAGGAAATAAAAGTCCAATATTCTTCTTGTAGAAATCATCAGGCCCAGGAGCCTTCCTGACCTTTTAAAATTTAATTCTAGTCACAATTTCTGGAAGAGAAAAAAAATGCTTTGTGATACTTTAGATAGTTCTCATAAAAATGTCATAAAAAGAAATTACTTGTGTATGAAAAATTGGAACTGTGGAATTATTTGCATCATCTCCTCTTAAGTACAATCCCCTCAATCAAGGTTGCATTTCTTTTTTGTGATATACTAACTGCTTTTACCAATCATGCAGAATTGGGATCTAATCAGTGGTGGGATTCAGATATGTAAACAACCGGTTCTCTGTGTGGATGCTGCTTCCTGAAGTCCATTCTGGGCCTGGGCAACAAAAAATTAGCTACCGGTTCTGCCGAAGTGGTACAAACCAGCTGAATCCCACCACTGGATCTAATGCACAGAGGGAAGAGCTAATACTACAGAGGACCCCATTACCTTCCTATGAATTCACAGATTCCAACCAATCCCAGATAAATCCCAAATGGATTAGTCCAGCCATCCCCCAACTCTGCATGAGTGATTTTGTATTTCAGCTGCCATGGCCCAGAAATAATTTTGGACTCAATTTTCCCTAATAGGAATTGAGTCACTTTAAATGTTGTGGCTGGGTAGTTAGCCCTAGATGTAATTAGAGCAGAGAAATAAGCTTGTTCTATTGTTCTTATCATTCTCTTGTGAGCTTGAACTTGAGTTTTTAATCCCATGCTCAGCCACTGACAAAGACATACAAAAGTTATACTACTTTTATTATAAGGTTTATTATAAGGTTATAATAAAAGAATCTTGAAAGTCTTAATGTGCTTTCCTCTCACCTCCTTTTTCTTCATCCGAACTAGGGCATGTCATATCTGAGACTCTCATAAATTACATTTCATCCTCAGGCTCAAAATTCCTTTATCTGTCCATTGACTTGGTTGTGGCTCTTCCTCCTGTTCCTCAAGGTTATTCCTTCTGTCCATTACATCTACATTTGTTAGTCATCTTTCATCAGTGTTTCTCTAGATTTTCTTCTGTTGCTTCATCTCCCAAGGCTCCTTGGTAAACCAAAGAGGTCCCATGGATTAATGACCAGAGAAAGGCCATTAAGAAGCAATCCTATTCCAGAAGCTGATTAGGCACTTAACAGAATTGCCTTCCATGTTCATGGCCTGGGTACACAGAGAAGTGTCTCGGTTCTTACCTTTCATCAGGATCCGGCTAAGTAATAACCCAATACAAACAATTCAATATTAGCTTTTTGAAGTCCCCCTCCCTTTCCAAACAAGCACAAATCATGATGTTCTAGAAAAACAAAACCCTCAGAAAAGAGAATTATGTCTGGGTATGTATGTATGTATGTATGTATGTATGTATGTATGTATGTATGTATGTTCCGTAAATATTCCATCCCTCTCGTGTTTGTAAAGTCAAGAAAACATGTTTGTAAAGTCAATGAAATAAATTAAAATTAATTATGAATAAGGGAAAAAAACCAGGGATTTTGCATTATTACTGCCCATAAAGCTGAAAGTCTCATGTATTTTTATTTTTTAGGATTTAAAAAAATCTTCCCACTTGCAATAATCTTTTTCTCTCCTCACTGCATCTTTGACTGGCACTGAAAAATCCCCACTCCAGTCTCACTGAAATGTCCTTGCATGGTAATGAGGGATAAACACAGGTGTATCAAACAAGAAGTGCCGAGTGCCAGGCAGCAGCTTTGCAATCAAATGTGGTTTCTTTTCATTTCAGGTACTTTTAAAAAAGCATGGTAAGGAATTATAAATACATCTCTTTGTGTTTGTCCTTACCTAACAATGGCTGTTTGCTAAAGTCCTGTGATGAGCCCTGAATTAATATCTCACTGGTGCAACTTATAACAACAAATGGAATGCTCTCCTCTCCATTCTCCCCCTGGTATGCTCATTTCATTTCCTCCTCTCTGCTGACATCCCAGTTCTAACAGCATCTTTCCTGATTGCCAGGAAACGTTCTTTGGCTGCAGAGCAAGTCAGACCCAGCTCAAATAAATCATTAAGCAAAATACACATGTGATTTAGGGCACCACAGAGTTTCTTCCCCTAGCTAAACTCTTTCATTGTCACATTTGACTCCAGTTCATTTTTTTTGCCGTTGTCCTTCTCTGTGTTGTTCAACTAATTAACTAATTATTAAAAGCTGGAAGGGACCTTGGAGGTCTTCTAGTCCAGCCCCCTGCTCAAGTAGGAGTCCCTACATCATTTTAGACAAGAGGCTGTCCAGTCTCTTTTTAAAAACCTTGAGTGTTGAAGCACCCACAACGTCTGAAGGCAAGTTGATCCACTGGTTAATTGTCCTCATTGTTAGGAAGTTTGTCCTTAATTCCAGGTTGCTTCTCTCCTTGATTAGTTGTCTTGCCTTCTGGTGCTTTGGAAAATAAGTTGACCCCCTCTTCTTTGTGGCAGGCTCTCAAATACAGGAATACTGCTATCATATCCCCTATCATGTTAAAGTTAAAACAAGTGTTTTAAAGTTAAAACACATTATCTTGCTAAAAGAAGTGGTAAAATATGTTTAATTTGTTAACTTATCAATTTATGTTTGGCTGCTAAGCAATGGAACTCATGATGTTCATCAGCAATATTTGTACCTGCTTGCTTTTGTGATGGGAAAAAAATGTGAAGGCTAAATAGCTGGGTGTTTGATTCAGTGTTTTCTGAACCTACTGTGTTGCCCCCAAAATAAGACTGGGTCTTATATATTTTTGGACCAAAAGACCCATTAGGGTCTTATTTAGGGGGGGGTTCTTATTTTGCAGCTGCCCTCCTGCTCCCTCCCACCATCTGCTTGCCCATAGCAGCAACGGCTTACAAGCCTTCCCAGGGCAGACACACTTTTCACCCAGACAGAAAAATGACAGAGACTGGAAGCTTCATCTGCTTGCAAATGGGGTGCTTTGAAACTGAGCTTTTCCCACTATCCATCATTTCTCTGTCTGGACAAAAAATGTTTGGGTGCATATGGGGCACTTGGAAACAAGAGAAGATGTGGCGGGGAAGCTGGCAGCAAGGAAAAGCAATGGCGACACAAAGTCAAGGTAAGGAATAAAATGCAGGCTACACTTAAGAGACAAAGAGTGGCAAGATCAGAGAGTCAATGCCCAGTGCTAGCAGTATCAGAATCAAGGCAAGCAGTCCCTGGGAATATGAGAGTCCAATTCAAATACAGCAGGTAAGCTGGGGGTAAAGAAAAGCAATGGTGGCACAAACATGAAGAAAGGGAACAAAAAAGATAAGACAGATTACACTTAAGGGAAGCGGTGCCAGCTTTCCATTCACAGAAATCCCCCCCCCCGCCCATCAGATTCCACAACCCATAAAGGAAGGAAACCAATCTCCCACCCAACCTCCTTCCCTGCAATGACCAAATTGCAGCCTCCCACCATGACTCCAAGCTCTGATCTTGTTCTCTGCTCTCCTCCCCCATCTCAATCATTTCAGAACACCCAGTCAATCACGGAAAGAAGCAAATTCTTCATTAGGTGTGTTGAAGCTCTCTTTCTCAGGGTTCTTTCATAGCAGCAGCAGCAGCAACAGCAGCAGCAACAGCAGCAGCAGCACACAGGTCACTCCATCTGCAACGACCTAGGGAACCCCCTTTCCTTCATCCCAGAAACATGCAGTTGTAATGTCTTCTGAGCAGGATGACTCCAGCTGAATACCTTCACTCTGCTAATTATACAAAACACCCCAAACAAAAGTTATTCTCAGCATTTCTCAAGAAGATACAGCTGGGGGAACAAACTAGCCTCCTTGGATCTGCACCAGCTGATGAGGACACCAAATGATGAGGCTTGCTATAGGGGCTCTACTTCACACAGTGGTGCCCATAAAGAAACATAATACAAAGCACCCGCTCCTTACCTCTAAACTCTAAACTCTCACTGTCCTCCCAGCACAAAGGAAAAGGTGATCATCTTGGCATTTCTCTTTCCCAAAAGGCAGGCTGAGGAAAGATCTTTGCAGAAGGGCTCTACCTGCATCCATCGAGCAGCCTAGTTCTAGAAAGTGGGAGAAACAGGGGTTAGGCTGCTTCTTGCCCCAAAATAGGGCTAAAGACAAATGTAAAACAGCTACTGAAGTTGACCTTACACTCAGAAAAACAGTTCCAGCTCAATGGGACCCAAAATATCAGAACAATTCTGTGTTTCATTGGCTACCGGCTTGCTGCAAATTGTCCCATCTTCTCCTTTCTGTTTTGTATTCTGCTGCTAAGTTGGCCCTAGAGGTCCTTTTCTGATTCTCCCCCTCTGGCCAGAAACTAAATTGTCAGGCCCATAGGAAAGGGTGTTTTCTGCACAGCTATGGGATTGTGCAATAGGACCCTGGAGAGCAGCTCTTTGCCTGACCCTCGGAGGATTTAAGAATAGGGTAAAATGGTGCATCTCTTTGACCGAGCTTCAACCTGAAACTTATCCCAATGCTTAATTTGAACTAATTTCAATGTGATAACATTGCTCCAATTTTCAATTGGCATTTTTATCAAAGTAAGCACACCATGATGATTTAAAAAACAAAAATACTGGTGTTGCACAGACACATTATGGCTAGATTTCTGTGTTTTTTATGGTATAACTATAGGCAGCAATTAACTTTACAATGATTTTCAAAATTTAGGTTAGTTATATTTATTAGTGTTTAGTACACTAAGTTTAAGGTATAACCCAGTGGTGGCGAACCTATGGCACGGGTGCCAGAGGTGGCACTCAGAGCCCTCTCTGTGGGCACGCGCACCGTCACCCCAGTCCTAGGCCTTCAGCTGGGTTTTATAAAATCTTTTCGCTTTAGGCCTCCACTGCCGTGTACAAAAAAAAAAAGGTTCAATCAATTAGTCAATTTCAACTTCTCAGGAAAAAAAAAAGATCTTGCAAAATTGGAATTGATTGATTGAACGTTTTAGTCCCACCCAGTCTACTATTACCACCACAGCCACACCCACCCAATGGGCCACACTCACCTGGCACCCGACGATACATAAGTGGGTTTTGGGTTTCAGTTTGGGCACTCGGTCTCTAAAAGGTTCACCATCACTGGTATAATCTATGCTTATAGTTATTTCTAATCCAATCTAATCATATGTACATTTATTTCTAAATTGCTTTATATCTATCCAGCTTTTGTTTCTTCTACCATCTAAGTGCCTCGGGGAAAAAAACCTCACATGTAATCTATAAATAACATTAATGCAATTAAAATTGCTCTTAAAATTACACAATTGTTCAGAAATCAAAAGCTCGGCAAAAGAGATGCATTCTTACCTTGTCCCTAAATACCTAGAATGTGGGGCCCATGAGCATCACCTGGCAGGCACACTAGAGAAAGGGCCCTTTCCAGTAGACTGCAAATCTCTGGTCCTGGGATGGGGGAAGGCACTTTAAAAGATCCATCCTGCTATTTCCTACCAAAAGTGCAATATTTAGAGTGATGGCAAATCACAACCTTCCACTTGAATTTTGATCACATGACCACAATGATGCTGCAATGGTTGTAAATCTGAGAAATGGTCATAAATCACTTTTTCGGTGCTGTTGTTACTTTGAATGGTCACTAAATGAACTGTTGTAAGTCAAGGACTACCTGTTTTTTTTATTGTAGCACCTACTACACACTTTCACAGCAAATGCAATTTGAATAGGCCTGCTCTGAATCTTCTTGCTCTTCTAGTAACTATTCCAGAATTCCTCCCTATTTTTGAGACATTCCTTTAAACACAGAACATGGACAGAAACGCTCATGTAATGTTTTGGTCAGATCGAGAGGTCACCTGAGTATTGCATACAGAAATTGACAGGTCCATCTTAAAATCAGGATAGCCCTTGAGGTCAGTTATGCTATCAGAAAACTTTTAGAGGGAATAAAAAGCATTTTATAGATGACAAATAATAGGCTAACACAAATGGCTAACCTATCAGGAGACCCAAGAATTTTTTTCAAGGGAGATATAAAATGGTATATGCCACACTTGATGACCACTTGTGTGAGCTGGCTTGAATTGACTTCTAGATATATGGTTAGATAGCATAATGGTTAGAGTATCACCTTTGATGTGTGAAACCAGGGCTGATACCTACCTTATCAGTAGGGGTCTTTGGGCAAAGGCCCCTAACACTTCCCCTGCCTACCACAAAATATGAAAGTAACACAAACTAGTAGAACCATGCTGGCTTAGACGTCACCAAGATTAACAAGGTTTATGTCAGAGGTGGAGAAACCAGAACAATCTGATTATAAATGGACTACTGGAACAAAGTATACAGGGATGAGATCCAAGGTAAGGTGCACGCGCAAACACAAACACACACACACACACACACACACACACACACACACAGTTATAATTGAAATGTCCTAAAATATATCTGTTTATATCTATTACGTGCATCCCAACAGACGGTGATTTATTTGGAATACAACAATTCTTCTGTCAGTTACCATTATTGTAGTTGAGTGCCATAACAATCACCAATGCTTTAATTTTCTTTTAAATAGAAACACTTTTATCTTTAGTACAGAAGGTTGAGGACACATACTGTCAACGTATGCCACAATCTAATTTGGTGACTGTGATATAACTTGTTATTTTCTACAGCAGTTTTAAAAAGATTTCAATCCAAGTTGTTTGGTTTAAATTCCCTTGGTCCCCACTTCCTTAATTTTATCAACCACTCAATGACTACTGATAATAGATATAAGTGTCATCAGATTTTGTTGTCAATGTTATAGTACTAATACCAGTAGAGCCTTTTTGTCACTCTTAGGAAAGAAAAAAAAGACACTGGTAAGAATCTATTTCTCAAAACGAAGTCTGGAGAGAGATCATGCTTTGACATGTATATCAGGGCCTTATGCCATAGCCTAAAGGTCCTGGGAAAGCACCAGACTCAGCCAGTATTCAAGCTAGATTTATGAAAGACTAGGGAGAATCCAGTAACAATCAGTTTTTAATTCAAGCAATGTTCACCAATTACGAGTAGCGTATGGAAAACCCTGATGTTCCTTTATTCTCTGAAAAACACCAGTAAAACTCATATTCTCAAAAACATAGATTCCATTAAAAAAAATTCAACAAAGTATCTGCCATTTTTGTGGAGTTGTGATTGTGAAACACAAAGCCATTCAAAAATTAAATACATGGAACCATTTCTGAAAATAGCTTGAAATTCACTTATGAAAGAAAAACTCAAAAGACAAGAGGGGGGTAAGACATCATCAGCAACAGTATGGCTTCAGATTCTTTTGTATCATAAAAATGGAATCAGTCAGTGTCCTGATTCATAAAATATGCTAAACTATAATGTTGTTTAATTGCTTTTGGTTTAGTGTGATGTGTCAATCTGGCCAGAATAATTGAGAATTGTTTCCAAGACAATCTGTTAGCATGACATGCTTGAAAGAGAGAAAAGTGGGCCCTGAATACTTTCCAGTAGGGCTTCAGGGGTCAAGTCAAAGCCTCCATTTTCTGATGTTCTCATCACAAATATTTTATTTCTTAGCTAATATAAATAGACTGAAGCTTCTGATTCTACAGTAATTGATTTAGATTCCACATTATAGAAAAGAGCAGGGCTCAAAAAGATTCTTATGAAATTCTGGCCATGATATCAATGCTATACTATACTATGCAATGCATGTTATCATTTACTTCTCAACTCATAAAATTAATCTAGCCCTCTTATCATATTTAATTTTCTGTCATTTCCCTTCCATGACTTTTCTAATGGCTTCCTCAATTATATAAACTTTTTAAAAACAATCCAACCCCATTTTATAACTGTTGAAAATTGCCTGTTTAGTTTGTTTCAAAAGGCTTTCTTTTTTATAGCCTCTGTCCTTACTTGTATAAGTGACAGGTTATTGTAACACAGCATGCATTGCCTCCTGTATTTACTACCTGTTTTTCTATATCTAACTACAATATATACTTTCTTGAATTTTTATTTCCCCCCCCCCAGCCATTAATCACAAAAATGAAAGAATCCACATTCCTTTTCACAGGAAGGTAGAGGTACGGTTATATTAAACATCATGATTAAATTATATGTGGGTTTTAAATCCAAATATTGTGATTATCAGACAGTTACCAGTTAACTTTGATAATATAATTGCCTTGTGAAAAATTACCAGACCTCTTCTGCATATTATGGATAGTGATGGTGGATAGTATAAGTAATGTGATATCCATTCATGAGGCCAATGTCCTCCATATCTCAAAAAATTGGCAACCAACATAAATAATATTGATCTAAACGCAATACCACACAAGACAATCCTGTAAAAGAAATAATTGAAGTTAGCAGTATAAAATATGTGAGAGATATTTTTATGTGTTACATTTTTTTTCTTCCTCATCCAACAAACATAGAAGAGGTAATTCAGGACATTTTAGCTTTCCTTAGCATGACAAGTTGTTGATTCCAAATATTACTCTTCTAGGCCTTCTTTTAACTTAGTTAGTTAGTTTTCCCAATCTCTCCTTGTAGTAATGGGAACATTGAAATATATATGTAGGATCATTTCCTAATTTGAACTTCTTCATGAAGAAGGTTGTCATAGTAACCACACTCCTTTTCCTTGTGAATTCAGAATATTAGACTTCTTATTCTGTAGTACAGCTTGTGTCAAACATTTGAATTTAACCTGGTAATGAAGTATAGCAAAGCATAATTGAGAACCTCATATAAATTCTAGTAAAACTAATCCATAACATGCATTTATAAACTATGCCCTCAGAATTTCCTTCTTATTATTTTTCCTATTACTGTAGTGCTGGCCACTAATTAATCATTCATTATCTGAGCCATTTGAGGCAGTGTGAAGCATATTTTTTAATTGATTGACTACTTCATACTTATTTTCACTCCAAATCTGTTTATACCATGAATGAATGATTGTATGTGTCTGTCTGTCTGTCTGTCTGTCTGTCTGTCCTGGGTGCAACTAATGTGCATAGAAATATGTGGCATTTCTGCAATAGCATGCAGAATGAAGAATGATCTTTCCT